ATCTTGTGCCTCCACGTGGACGACGGCCTTTTGATAACAGACAGGTCGCAAGCGGACAAAATCCAAAAGTCCATCGATGACCGCTTTGCCATCAAGGAATGGAAGGACCTGGAGAAAGAGCCAGAGACCTTCTTGGGTGTTAAGACCCAATATACGACCACTGGCTTCATCGACGACATGACAGAATACATAGCCAAGGTCGAGTTTGCAAAAGAAGAAACCCCCTCTGAGGCACCACTGGAAGGCAAGCAGCTCTCAGCATTCAGACGCCTCATCATGCAACTCAGGTGGCCCGCTCACCATGTGCTCCCAGAATATCTCTTCCGGGTCAGCGACTTGGCACAACGGGTGGGACAGGCGACTGGTGGAGATCTAAAGTACGCCAACAAAGTACTTGCCAGCATGAAAGAGGGAGCATCCCGAGGAAAAGCGATCATGAGGATTCCTCCAATTCCACAACAGCCGCTCATGGTCAGCTTCTTTGATGCCAGCCTCGGCAATTCCAAGAGTGCCCAAGCCCAACAAGGGGAGATACATCTCCTCACGAACACGACAGCCTTTCAGCAGCCAGCCCCGGCATGTGTCCTTGAGTTCCACAGCAACCGCATTAGGCGGGTGGTGAGAAGCAGCCTGGCCGCTGAAGGCTGCGCGATGAGCAGTGCAGGTGATCGCCAGTTGTTCAGCAGGGTGCTGCTGGATGCCTTCCTGTATGGCAAGACAGCCATCGATCAGGAATGGCGTCGCAACCTGGTGACACCAGGATGCCTGGTGACAGACGCGAAGGGGCTCCACGACCACCTTCACAAGACAGGTGGAGTCGCCACCGAGAGACAGGCAGCTCTCGACATGCTGCTCATGAAGCAGCTCATAGAGGACGAAGTCGTGGGCCTCAAGTGGACGCCAACATGGCGCCAGCTGGCGGATCCTCTGACGAAGGACATGCCAGCCACTCTCCTGGAAGAGCTGAAGTCTTCAGGCATGGTTTGCCTAGTTCAGACGGAGAGTGATGTGAAAGAAGAAGAAAGGCGTGCTGGCATTCGAAAAGGTCAGCGTGAACGCCGCAAAGAAAGGATGAAGCAGCTGAAGCATGATGGACGCAACAACATCAACGCCTCTTCTCCCTGATGTGATTCAGCTGTTTCGCTTGACTTGCTTGATGTTGTGCAGCTTTTCGCATCCGCTGGTTTTTCACTCATAGGCATCCGGATGACCCCTTGCAATCTGCGAGGAAAACAGCACACGCATTGCTTGCTTTGCTTGCTTGGGCCGACCTTGTTTTTCCCTAGGCTGCCTTTGGGGGATTCGTTGGTCTTAGAGGGATTGGCCCCCCTTGAAATCCACAGTAAAATGCAATTTCTCAGCCATGAATCATTGTAAGATGTTGGGTAAACGGGGGGTTTGCCCGGAAAGCAACATGCTGAGGGCTAGAACACCATGCGTTTTACAGAGGTTTTGGCCTTTTGGGCCACTCAACTCATCGTCTGGTGGAATGCAATTAATCCGCTTCGATGATGATGATGATGACGACGATGACGGACGATGACGATGATGATGGTGATGAGCTGACGTGCTATGTGCATGATGCGGATGATGCCCTGATGTGTAACACGCATGATGTGGATGATGCGCTGATGCGTCAAGATGTGGATGATGAGCTGATGCCCTACGTACATGACGCAAACGATGCGATGCGTTGCGGGCATGATGCGTAGGATGAGCAGATGGGGATGTTTATGAATCCACTCAAATGGATATATAAATCTTTGTGCATCGAATCAAACCTTTACTTCCAATCGCAGTACAATTTGGAATTGGTGGAAGGTGACAAGATTCCCTCGCGTGGCAAATTCGACCCCTGAGCCTCAGGACGAGGCGGCCCTGCAGCCAAAGAAGCCTCGCCACTGTCTAAGCTCACCACATCCACCTTGGACAAACGTTTCAACTGGCATGTCTCTCATATGGCTGTGTCAGAAACCCGTATCCCCAAACCAGGGTAGGTTGACCTCATTAATAGTCTATTCTATTCTATTCATTTTTTTGGGGTCAGCCCACGGTTTTGACCCACAGCCATGTCAAATATGCCGGCTTAATCGATTCAATCATCTCAGATCCATACGAAGAAGCCGTGCTGCCTCATCCCTGAGCTCTCCTGTCAGGATCGGTGAGGAACTCACACCCACCTCTCGCAGCTGAGGGTGATGAGGGCGTGATAGAACAATATGTATTACAAGTCAAAACAATAATACAAGATAATACAAGTACAACACCTATCAACACTTTCATTAAAGACTTGCCTCAAATGGGTCAAGTGGGTGGAAAACTGCTCCGGGCCTGTGTTGTCACAGCGAGGCTTCCCAGCAAGGCACGCTGCCTGGAGCTCTGTAACAAAAGCTGTGTAGACCCCTGCTCTTCTTTGGAAAAGCAAGACGCTGCTAATAGCTATATATGGCTTTATAATGATCACCAACATAAACCTGCCTTGAACTCAGAAGCAGTTCATTGGTACTCCCAGGGATGTCTGACGAAAACGCCTAGACATCAGCAAGAAACCATTGAAGATTTAAGTTCCAATGACAGCATGTAATTCACCATGATGCACAATGTCTAGAACTCGAGGTAAACTCTGCCAGGTCACGTAGTACCCTCGATATCTTTTTGACCAAACAGGCAAACAATGACCATGTTTCTTTGTGACATCGAACTTGCATGAACTTGCCTAGATTCGTGATGTTTCCTGGAAACAAACAGTCTTGACCTCATGTCTACTAACGGAATGACACCTGTCTCGGCTGGGTGTGGACATCACAGGCATGCGGGTCTGGTCTTCACGGGGCACCGTTGCCTCCGTCTCAGTGCGAGGCTCTTGCGAAGCCTCAAAGCGAGAGGGTCTTGGAGGGCGAAGCAGTTGGAACGCTGGGAGTAGCGCCCGGAGCACATCATGATTTGATTGGAGAAGAGCATAACGGTCCTCCAGAGGGTCAGTGTGGACAAATCACATCATCATCATCATCATCATCATCATCACATCTAAACAACACGAGTTATTAAAACAACATCATAGAGGGTCCTGGAGGGAGTTCAGATCCTGCGAGAGCTGCGACTTCTCGTTGCTGATTGCCTTCAGCTCTGTCTCCGCTGAAATCAAGGAACCCTAAACTTGAAACCGCTTCTCTGTCTTCAACATGTCACTTCTTTGCACATGAAGTTCAATGAACCTTCAACACGCAGGACTTCCAAGCTCGCCACCTGCAGCCTCTGGCCTTGCCTTGGAATCTATCCCTAAAACTTCACGCTTCAAATCAGTGGCTGAAGCACCGGGATTGCTTAATTTAAACCATGGGATGAATGGAATGGGTTGTCAATTTCCTTGGCAGTCCAAGGCACTGCCGTAGTTCTGCAAGTAGCTGACTGCGATTCGAACTGAGGCGTCGAGATAAAGCTAAGATGTTGGTGCACTCCTGTCCGTAGAGCGCGTGAAACGTGTTGTGGCCATCCGAGCTGGGGAGTGAAAAGGGGGCCATCTTCTTGATCCAACCCAATTTCTCGCCCAATCTGGTGGAAACCAAAAACATCCCAAATCTCGTCTGAGTACAGTCGTCTTGGTCCAATTGGTATGCGTCAAGTATGCACTGAGTATGAGCCACAACTTGCTTTAAGATGCACGTATGCTGGATCTCCTTCATGCCGATGGCATCTGGCGCACTCTCCAATTGCCGCTTGACAAAGCCAGCGTACGGCCCCAAGTCACACGCCTTGAATGTCTATATACAAAACGGAAGCAAAACGCCTTGATTGGCTCATCCAACCTATTCCGTATTGTTGAACCATTTCCCTCAGCACCCAGCCTCTGCATTGGTCTGAGCCGGCAAGCACCTCGCTTGCAGAACTAAAACGTGAAGCAAGAGAACCACGGTGGGCCGCCATGCCTCATAAGCAAGAACACACAAGCGCCATTTTTCGTCTCTACATGCCAGCCAGTTTTCTTTGCACTGTCCGCTTGGCTGAAGGACAGACTCAGAAACAGAGTCTTTCCGGAGCATTAACGCATCTTCGTCAGGAAGGATATTCACAGGATCTAAAACTCAGCGCACAGCCTCTGGTTCGACACAGTGTGGGAATTGGCCTCACGCTTTTCTGCGGCCCCAGCGGTTGCGCCGCTGACCGGATTCCACTTCCTTAGCACTGGACTATGTTCAGACTCATAAAGGTCTTCCCTTTCTACCCTGTGAGGATTGCTTCAAATTGCTTCCTTCTGTTCAATGGCAGGAACTTCATGCATTGATTCAGTGCATGAAGTTCCTGCAAAAGACCACATCTATGGTTCCCGGTACACCGAAACTTCAACAACTTTGGCTACCTCCAGACCTCCAGTCAAGGAGCGACAACTTCTGCCGGAACTGCGGAAGTGATGGCCTGAGGAATCTTTGTCTCACCAAAACCATGGGGAGAATTTGGAGACATCAAAAGGCACACAACTGCAAGAACAAACAAAGGACCTCAACACAGATCTGGACGCAAACATCTTTTCAGCAAGTGGCTGGAGATTCGGTGGTAACTGGCTCGGCAGGTTTTGGAGGAGTTGCCTGTGCGAAGAACGGCCCAAACCACTCAACTCTTTGGAGGCAAAAGGTCAAAGATGCCCTTTGCTACTAGGAGCTTCTTGCTCCTAGTACAGTAGTGAGAGTGCAGAAGCCCTTGTTCCTAGTAGCGTCCTCTCGCTCCTAGTAGCGATGCCAGGAGCCCCTAGTGGCTCGGCCGCTTCTGCCCAAACCACTCAGCACCAACGAAGAGCCCGTCGAGCGCCTGCAAAGATCTCTCCTGGTGTTCGAGTAGTTGACCGTCCGGCAGGATATGCATGACCTTTATCTGGCCAAACTTGCCTGATGAAAGCTGCTCTGCCACCTGCAGCAATGTGCCCCCCGCCACATTGTAGCAAAACCATGAAAACAGAATGAACATGAATGAACCATCTCAGCACAGCTTTTAAAAACAACATCCACCTCGGCCCTAGAGCTACCTGCTGTGCTTCCTGATTGTGCAACAGCAAAGGCAGCTGCGGCTTGAGTGGACACCTGGCAGAACCGGAGGAGCTTTGGAGAATCTCGACCAAAACCATCATGTTTCTGCACTTTGTCTTTCCGAATGCGCCGACGCCCGAATGTCCCCACGCCCGGCCTCTGCGAAACGTCGTAGAACATCTTGACCTTCCTCACTTTGCAAATGGCCCTGCATGCCTCCAGCTTCCCGCCGGCCGAGAGGATAGGTACCTTCATCTCTTCGCAAGGAAGAACAAGGATACTTTATGATACTTTGCCAACACAAGGCAGGCTGAAAGGCCAGGTTCGGATAACCGGCCGTGATCGAACCCAACCTAGAAAAGGGCTCGCGCACTCCTGATTCATGAGTCGAAAAACGGCAATGTAAATATGTATTGGCTTTCTTGTTCATTTCACTCAGGGGATTTTCCACAACATTCGCACATGAATGTTGATCCTAATTTTTTGTTATCTGAAGAATCATTAAGGTTTCAAGTCCTTCGGAGACCCGTGAATACTGTCAATGGCTGGCTTGCTGAGAGTATTGATAAGTATAGGTTTCTCTAGTTCTTCTTCAAAGCCGCAAAGAACCTGAGAACCTTCCTTGTCCCCTTCTTAGTAGTATGAAAGGATTGCTGAGAATATCTAATTACAAAGAACATGAGAAAGGAAAATTAATACTACAGACTACAGTCAATTACAAAAGGAATCCTCCGAGGAACCCAGATTTGTTTCGGTGGTAGTTTATTATAAAGGACCTCTCACTTGTTAGAGGGGGGGATCCCTTTTACTCATCAGGATCCAACATTAAGTTCAAACCGGAACAAGTGATAGAAATTGTCATGCCGTAAGGGGAAGAAGCAGTCGGTTCCGTCGGAACCTTTTGAGTCGCCCGTGTTGATTCCTTACCTCTTCCATGGTTCCAATCGAAAAAATCGCTGCGCAGGTTTCCGACATTGCGTGTGCAATACGGGTTGCTAAGCATAAGCCTCGACCTTGGGCCTCCCTAGTCTGAGATTGGGGATGAGTCATGTTGATTTTGCTTAATTTTGAGTACCAATGTCCATCCGCAAAGCCAATGCAAGTGCCAACGCACTGGACATTTTGCCCATGACGTCCCATGGCTGCAGCTTGTCAAGTGCTGAGCCACGGTAGGAGATGGAGCGCGCCGCGCAGGCCCTCTTGAAGCTGCTGGGCTCTGACCAATCAGTTTCACGGATGCGGAAATCCCAAAGCGCTGTAATGCCGTGTCTTGACAGCCTGAGCGAATCCCAACAAACATTGACATGTCACAAATACATGATGGTGTTCTTTTTTTGATAGGAACTGTCAGTGTTTCATGTGTTTCTCTGCTTCTGCTTGAGTCATGCGCAACTTGAAGAAGTCTTTCTCCTCCAGTCGTTGATCATCTCCGTATCCATGCTGCCCACCAGTTGCTACAGAGAAGACAGTTATCCCCTCTGTGTTTGGCGCTCCTTGTGGCAAACCTTGAGAAACCAGCAACACATCTAGTTCTGATAATGCATGATAATCCAGATCAGTAGAATCCATTGGAGCACAACTACTAGCACGACTCTGAAATACTCTGAGTTTGACGTGATTAACCTCTTCAAGCTTGATGATTGTCATGTACATGCCGAGGTGCCATCGAACTGCAAACCGGAATTGGGACTGCTCAGCAACGACCTAGTGTAGAGGAAACACACTCCAACCCTGAAGTCCATCTTTGCTGACTGATTTCTTTCAGGGGTACACAAACCCATTGCACCACCAAAAGCCCCTCACTCTGCAATTTGCTCACAAACAAACATCGCCTCTTTGTGTTGCTTGGATCGAGTGCATGATTCAGTGCAGCTTCTGAAGAATGTGTTCCACAACCACAGTGCCTTGGGCGGAATGACAGGGCACAGGTAGCAAATTAAGGCGCGTTTGATATCATTTTGAAACCTTTCTCCGCTGGTGCGGCCAAGCTTCTTGCCAGTGCTTTCTTCTTTACTGTCACCCCACAACAATGATGCCTTGAAGCCTTTGTCCATGCCCGTGCTAAGGGTTCGCACCTTAGTCGGCCCGACGCAAACCAACGGCGCTAGATTCTAGATGGCACCAGCTAGCCCGAAGTGCTTCGTTCAATAAAAGAGAACGTCACCCCGTCCATTGTTTGGCTCCCGCTAAAGACCATTGCCCGTTTTGCACAGTAGCCCTCGATATCCCCCACTTTTGCAGCATTGTAAGCTTTAAGCACCACCGTAGTTGAGAAAACACACTTTGGTTTCTTCAGCAATCAACAACAAATGAGCATCCAACATCAGTTATGCTTTTCTCCTCTTCATCATCTTCGTTGATTGTTTGCCACTGTCGCTCCAGGTTGTCTGCATCAGGGTAGAAAAAAATAACCAATGATACTCTTCCGTCTGTGATGTCCGGCCTGCCGCAACCACGAACTGGGACATTGGCTCTCACAAGCTGCTCTGCTGACTCGCAAATTGTAGATCATGTTCCGCTAAGGACGGGACATTGTTGGTACCCCGTGAGTTTGTGTGCCGAAAACAATCAAATCACCATCTCGCAACAGTACGGGGCGGCGATCTACAGTGAGAATTCTTGGAGAGCCAAAGGAAAGCCTTGGTTGACAAGGTAAGGTAACTCCTCCATCAGATGCAAATTCCACGAAGGGGCATAACAGCAATTGTCATTAAGTAAGACCCGGACAAGCAAGTCCAGAAATCATGTCTGTGGGCTGCAATCTTGTCCTTTCCATCCGCATAAAAATTCATGAAGATCCGCGCTTGTGGATCCCGGATGTTCATCTGGGAGAACCTGAGGTGGTACCGGTCAGCCCACAGCAAGTGAACAGCCTTATGGCATTAGAATCGCAGGCCGCGTGCTATCAAAGTAGCACTTTCTGCAGAATCTCGTCCAAAAAATCTAGGCCACCGGTGTAGTCAGCCACCTGTCGACCTCGCTCAGTGCGAAACGAGACAGTGCTTCAGGTCCAAATCTAGGCAAGGCAGCAATAGCCACAGCTTGTGAAGCTGTAGGCAGCAGGCAACCCGTCAAGTTCATTCAAGTTCCCACTCTCATGCTGCTTAGTGACCTGAACTGACAGACTGCCCCTTCTCGTTGTATCTCAGGGTGAGCTCTCCTGTGTTGGAATCCCTCACAACGACTTTGGCTTGCTTCCAGGAGACCTCACGGAAATCCACAAAAAACGGGAATCTGTCTGCATCATTTCGTGCGAAGATGTGCGAAGCCTTGCTTAACCACAATGTAGCCACTACAAAATTGATCAAAATTGTATCAACAAACGGCAAAACAATTGCAAACAAAAAAAGGCATACATGGTGCTCTTATCATGCATCATCATGTTTACTGTTCACATCTGTTCACTATCGGGCATTTTGACGCTTCTTTTGGGGTCTGGTCGGATCTCGAGAGTGCTTATGCAATGTCCATCTCTCCAACCTTCTTGACCAGGGAGTCGAAGGTGGAGGATTCCTTGATGAAGCCACGCCTCTTGACATCACAGAAAAAGAACAAAACAGCATGACATTTGCACATAGCCGCGAAGGAGTTCAGATTTTGTCAGGCGTGTCCTCAGCGAAAAGCTGACCAACTAGTCGTCCAGCTACTGTCATGGAAGGGAGTGAACCCGCAGCCGAGCAACTGCTTTAACCGACTTCCAGGACAGCTAACATTATGTCTTCGTATTTCATGATGTTTCATGTATACTACTGTCTACGAGTAGATTAATTACATACTGTAGTGTGTACTTCATTTTCTTTGCGAGTTGTACAGTAGATGCTTTCAATTGCTTCGAGGCCTGATGTCCAGGTCGCGAAAGGCGTTCACTGAGGCCTTCTTCAACACCACATCGCGAGAACCAACGGGCCGTTCCAGTGTGGCCGGATGTTCGCGCCACCACCTGCATAGTGCACAGGGAGAAGCGGATCATGAAAAACTTCAATGACTAGTGACTATAAGGACAAAATACTGGTGGTGCACAAAAACTGCTTTCCAAGTGTTTTCAATGGTCCATAGAGCGGGCCCAAACTGCACAGGTGGACTTGAAATGGAGCACGAAAGGAGCAGCCTTTGAAAAGGCTGTAAGCAATGTTTGCTTCATTGTCGATGTCTCTCACACGGCATATGCGCTTAAATCCATACAAACAATCTCAGCCATTGACGGTCGAATGAGCTCGCGCCTCTTGACCCAATGTTCCGAGCGGCCGACCTTTTCAGCGATCTCCGTCTTGGAAAGGCCCTTCCTGAGCTCGGGACTTCGACTTCTAAGAACCCAAGGGCCATCAACTGTCATCGATCTATCAACTAGCCGTAACTAGCTGCGGTGATCACTTGTGACATATTTCTGGCGGCAAAGAATCTCTCTTAGCTGGATGACCTTTAGCTTGTCCTTGGCACCCAGCAACTATCCAAAGGCTCTTGTTGGCACACTTTCCTTTTTTCAAAACAGCAAAGAAGTGAGGTCCTGGTAGTCTCGCAAAGGACCGGAGGACGCAGAAGAGATCACCCCAGATATGTCATCGTTGGGATCAAGAGGAAAGTCAGCCGTCCTGTCCTAGTCTGATGCATTGGGGGGCTCGATTCAACAGCAAAGATCAAAAAGTGCACCGTCATATTTTAGATGCGGTCATGACATTCTGGTTCCACGATGATGGTCAATGTCAATTTGATGGGCACAACCTCGATTACTGTGTGTGTACGAGTGCATTCTCCAATGCATCCAGGGCACTTCACCTCTGTCCTCATTCAACGTTGAGTACAAGCATTATGCATAACCGCAAAAGCTCGAAACAACGGCTGATTTAATTTTGACAGTCGTCTTGCGTTTAAGACCAAGACTGAAGTTGTCTCACAATGCGGGCGAGCCTCCACATAGCGATATGTACCTTCCCATACGCATGTGCATCCATGATTTGTATCTCCAAAATTCTCCAAATGTCTCCAACAAAAATGTCAACTCAAAAACGATCAAGTCTATCTTGGGCCAAAAAAAATGGCCACGTAAGGATACATAAGGGACTTAGATCCGTCTGCATGGTGCATACCATCCTACCCTAGACCACAAGCCTTTTGGTTCAATCTCGGGTAACCGCCAAACGATCCAAACATTGACACCTCGCGTTCTTTGCCGCCCCGGCACATTTGGACACCTCGCGGGGAACAGTTCCACGCGCTTGGCTGATGGGCGCCGTGAGGGTCTGGGACTCCCCAGGCAGCAGGATGACCATGGAGTGGTCAATCCATCATGGCAAAGCACATGGTTTCAATTCAATATACCCAAATCAGGTGAACCTAGATGAGCCTAGCCACTGAAGCATATCCGTGAAGCATCTTTTGGAATGCATTTGCATGTTTCGCCAAAATTTGAGCTGAATTCCGCCATGGCTCTGTAGTACACTGTGTAGGAGGCTATAAACACCAACCAAATGCTTTTTGAGATCTCCAGTAGCGTGATAGGATCAATATCATGAAGGTGTTTTTGCTGTGATCTTAAAGACTCGGAGAACAACCACATGAGGGACAACCTCGAGGGCAAAGTAATTGGCCTCCAACCTAATAGTGATGGCCTCCAACCTCCAACCTAATAGCAATGAGAACCTTGCGAATACACTATCCCAAAACAGGAGCCCCTAGTCTAGTAGCTTCTTGTTCCTAGTATATAGTAACTAAGTAGTATGGCCAGGAGCCCCTAGTAGCGTCCTTGCTCCTAGTAGCGATGCCAGGAGCCCCTAGTAGCGATGCCTTTGTTCCTAATGACTTCACATCTTTACCATTCTTTACCCTTCAACTAGCGTCGAGTGTCGCTCCATTTTCATTCCTCCGTTTTGGAGTCGAAGGTAGGAAAAGGTGGGCGGTACACCAAAGGATGCGCTCCTGCTGGGGCTTCAAAGCGCCATGACCTTGGAGGGAGAGGGGAGGGCTTTCAGAAGGTTGCGAATTTATTTCTGGATTTTTTTCGTATTTTTTTTGGATATTTTTTTGTTTTTCGGTTGTTTTCCATTGTTTTTGTTTTTCTTTCCCCGTTTTCTTTTCCCTTTTCCTTTTCCCTTTTCCTTTTCCTTTTTCCTTTTTCCTCTTCCTTTTCCTTTTTCCTTTCCCCTTGTCCTTTGCCTGTTTCCTTTTCCTTTTTGCTTTTCCTGTTCCTTTTGCCTTTTGCCTTTTCCCTGGTGGAAGTGTAGAGTTGGTGGCAGGTGCAGGACTTTGTGGGCCTTGGAGTGCAGATTTCGTGGCAGGCGCAAGACTTTGTGGACCTTGAAGTGCAGATTTCGTGGCAGGTGCAGTACTTTGTGGATGTTGAACTGCAGAAAGATAGAAATATATAAAGATAAATGGATAGATAGATAGATCAGATCAGATCAGATAAGAGAAGATAGAGGAGGCATATTTGCTTGGTTAGAAAGTTTTGCACCGGGGAGTTCACCTTAAAATATTGATTTCGTGGCAGGCGCGGGTGTCGGGGATGAAGTGCAGATT